ATGTTGTATCCAGTTAGTAGGGAAGTAAACCCTGTGTGAGAAGCTGGCCTGATCCAGAGCCTGTCTACTTAACTGTTAGGCTCCACTCATCTAAAAACTCCCACAGGTCACTTTCCCAACAGCTCAGAATAGGGTGAGCTGAGCAGGTCTGTACAAATCTACTGTCAGGTGCTGCCCCTGCCCCTGCCCCTGCCCCTGCCACAGAGTCAAGCTCCCTTAAATCTGCACTGTATCCTCTCTACTTACTTTGCTCTGACCCCAGCCCTGGTTCCTGAGGCAAGCTGGCCAGTGCAAACATAGGCTTCCTAGCAACTTATTTTGGAATTTATACATAATCCCAAGGACATGCAGCAATGTAGAGATTTTGAAGCTTTTTGTTTATTTTTTGTGCAGTGCTGGGGATTGAACCCAAGGTCTTAAAACATACCAAGCAGTGCCAGAGCATACCCCCCACCCCATGGTGTTCCAACTTCCTTCCTTTTGTTTCTCTTTGGCTAGTGGGTGAGCCATTCAGCCTGCAGCTGACTTGTTCTAAGAACAGGAGAGAGAGTAGAGACTCACGGGGCTAAGTGTTCATGTCCAGAGGAAACCCGGCTGGTGGCCAAATATTTGGCCTTCTTAAGAACACCTCAGCTAGGCAGCAGCAATTGTTTTTTGGTTGTTTTGAGGTTTTTGCCCAGGATTTCAAAGTATACAGGTCCATTAAACTCTACCTCCCCAACAATCTCATTGTTTCCTATTTTATTGATGCTTTGTGTTTACTTTGCCTATAGTCAGCTTTCTCTGGAAGTGGAGTGAGCACTTTTGGGTAGCAACTCAGTTCTACCTCCCTGGGCTTTCTTCTTCACAAAACTTGGCTCGTAAGGAAACTGCACTCTTTTGAAAGGCTTAGGGTCGGAGTACGCTGTTGCCACTTACTGGTAGGGAGTCTGGAGTGACATAAGCGCACAACTGCATGACAGTGTGCTCAGCACTCAGTGCTCTTTATCAGCCTCGGTGGCTGTCAAGATCTCCACGCCCTGAATTATCACTAAAATCAACTGAATAAGGCTTTGTTCCAGGCCAGGCATGATCGGGGGTAAATCTTACACCCAGTGTCAGCTATCACTGTAGCTGGCCTTTCCTGGGATAGCAGGTGTGCTGGAAAGTAAAACCTGGCTGTGGTGACAACTTGCCAAAAAATTGAACTCCAAAGTAGTCCAATTCTGAATATATGTATTTTAGATATCTTTTTAAAGTTTAATTATTTGGTGCTAGATTGAACCCAGGGTCTCTTGCATTCTAAACTCACCCTCTGCCTCTGAGCCCATGACACCCTGTAGTCCTGAGTGGCATCTTCATAATGCTTTTTCTTTTCCTTTGAGTGATCTGAAAAATTAAATCAACTTGTAAGACACTCAGGATTCCACTTTTATTATTTATTTTTCATATCAATATTGTTGTATTGATATGATTTGATATATGTATAAAAAATGTTTCAAGCTGTATATAAGGATGGTAATGTGTAATTCATGAAAGGTTCTTCAGAGGAGAGCAAGTGGCAAATAGCAAGCATACTGTAACAGACCGCACCTCACATTCAGCATAGGACAGGCGTACGTGCAATTTTTAAAATTTCATTTTATTCCCTTTACGTGCAATTTTTAAAATTTCATTTTATTCCCTTTGGAAATACTGTCACAAAGAGTGATCTCACTATAGAACTACAGGTATAAGACGAGATGCAGAATACGTCTTATGCATCCATACATATATTTAATTTATCTTTTACGTTATTTTCTTTTTTATTAATTTTATTGAGAAATAGCAATGAGACAGTTTCAAAACCGATTAATAGGACAGTTTCAGTAATTAATACATTGCATATTGTTGTCTTCATAGTGGTTATTCCTAGTACAAGAGGCAGTCATGATATACTTTATTCTCAATAAATTGAGATTTTAGCCCTCTGTGGTGGCACACACCTATAATGCCAGTGCTTGGGAGGCTGAGGTGGGAGAATTGCCATGAGTTCGCCTGGGCTACATAGCAAGTTCAAAGCCAGCCTGAACTACATAACAAGACCTTGTCTCAAAACACCAAAATGTAGATAAGAACCTGTGCATCTAGGATCGGTGAGTCCTGCTTAGTTCTTATAATTCAATTGCTGGAGAATGGAGTAGTGTACAGGAATTATGTGACAGAAAGCCCAGTTGTTTGATTCCTACACAAAAACTTCCAAGTTTAAAGCTGAGTTCAAAGGGCTGGATAAATGGCTCAGAGGTATGAAGAGATAGCCGTGCGGACCTTGGCACAAGTCGGTCCTTCGAGCAAGGACTGTACGACTGGAGAATAACTTCAAATGCGGGCGTGCAAATAGAAAAGCACTCTGCTTTATTTTCCAATCACATTGCCTATTTCCAAATCAGAAAAATGAGCCACAGTTTGCCCCTAGGTTCCAGCCTTTGAAGTGATAGCCCCATAAATCAAATTAATTACAATGCTGCAAGAAAGTCCAAATTTTTCAATGCAGGCTTCTGATACGCTGTGTTTTAACTTGGACTCTCTCTTTGAATCTGAGCATCTTTTGGCATTCTGGGTCATGGCTGTGTGTGCAAATTCCTCTCTTTGGGTTTGCCTTAGCTTGTGGCTGCTATAGTTGGAGAAAGGAGGGGCAGTCCCTCTGACTTGTTATCAGCATTGTACAATAGTGTGCTCTCAAAGATCCTTGCATTCTGTCCAAAATCTTAATTCTTTTCTTTGAGACAAGATCTCACTGTATAGCTCATCCCAGTTTTGAATGCAGCAATCCTCCTTCCTCAGCCTCCCAAGTGCTGGGATTACATATGTGTTCCACCACACCTGGATCGACCTGTTTTTCTACCATCAACAGGCAGAAAACACATAAGATTGCATTTTTAGAGGCATCCATGGAGCTATCAGAAATCAAGTTTCTGTGATTATAACCACAAATAGTGGAATAAAGATTTTTCTTTTCCTCCAGGAAATAAGGATTAGCCTTATACTGGATTGAGTCTTAAATTCACAGAGGTTATAAGAGGCAGGATCAATTTGTTTCTTCAAACAATTTCATGGCCAGTTTCCCACATATCTGCTTTCCATTTATCCCTGTGTGTCTCAACCACTTCTAGTTAGGTTTTTTGTCTTTGGTAACACAGTGACGACCAGTAGTGTCATAGTGCATTATGGAGAAGAACTAATAGAAATCATCAAGGCTTATTCATCAATAAGAAGCACTGAAGAGCTCCAACACAAGGAAAGTTTGGGCGCCACTGAATTATGTGCCCGGCATGGTCTAAGTGTTTCTGAGTATGCATAGTGACTCATATTACAAACACAGCAATCCTTTAACGTGGACACTGTTGGGTCACGCTTGCCAGGAGAGATCATCAAAGAGCACAGTGTCCCAGCCCTGTGTCCCAGGAAGCCTAGGTACATTCACATGGCTGCTCAAGGAACACGGCCACACTATCACCACCCCCAGAGTCCTCTAGCAGCAACCCCTCTTGCCAACACTTTACAACCTCCTCCAACACCCAACAACCACCTACCCCTTCATGGCAACAACTTCCTGCTTAAAAATCTTTGGTCTCTCCCAACTTGCTGATGACTCTTGTCAGGCTCAGCACCCCCACTCCAGGTGAAAGGAAACAGCCTAGTAGTTTGCACACAACCTGCCCAGGGTCTGTGTCTCAGTGGCTCCAAGATAGCTAGTGCATTCCATGACAGAATAAGGCTCCATGACCTTGCAGGGAGCAAGGTCACCTGCCCAGCTCACTTGTGGAATGACTCAAGGCAGCACACCATTGCAGCACAGGGCCAGGGCACCCATAGCTGTGAGCTGCAGTCTCTGTCACTCTGCCCCTGTGGGAAGATGGCTGATAGTGTGTGGGGTCTTCTGAGCACACTGAACCGCATTTCTAGATGCTAAACTTCGAATTTCCTATAATTTTCACTTGTCACATATTTTTCCTCTTGATTATTTTCACTTACCTAGAAGTCTAAAACCCATTCTTATTCTTAGCTCTTAGGTCATGGTAAAAAGAGGCAGTGGGCTAGATTTGCCTTGGAAGCTGTAATTTCCTATAATTAGGAGGGCGAGCCAGGCTTTGAACCCAGACTACGCACCCTTCACCTTGATAAATAGTCTATATCATAATAGTAGAAGTCATATACTTTATATACAATTCCACAAAAGTAAGGAGAAAATAACAACCACCCATAAAAGCCACACCCCAAGAATAGCACTAGTAAGAGCTGATATTTTCTTCCATTACTTTGTCCATTGTTTTACACTATTAAATTATATAACTCTACTTTTTCACTTATCATACGCATTATCCATGTTTTCACAAAAATCACACAATTATAATAATTACTAGATACACAGTAGCCCATTTAAACATTAGAGGGGTAAATCCCTATTTTGAAAGAATTGTATAAAATGAGGATTCCTGTACTAAGTAAGCAGTTGGTGACCCTTCACTTCCTGCCACTTCTCTGTACTTTCGTAAGTTGGATTCTCAAAAGTCACTCAGCCTGGTGTAGTGATATAGTGAGAGGTTTTGGAATGACCCAGCCTGAACCTGACATTCATCAGCCCTTTATTACCTAGGTGACTGAACAAGCTGTGAGAACTTTCCTAAGCCTCAGTTTCCCCAAATGGAACATGGAGTTGTATATGCTGTACATAACATGCTGGCACTAAAGAGAATTCCCTTGATGGGAACCAAACCTGTGGTCCCTACTCCCCCATCCTGATCCCCCTCAATATGCACACTTCTCTGAGGACTGTAGAGAAGGAGTCATTCTCTGTTGGACACTACCAAAGTCTTCTCTCCAGGAGAAAAGAGAAGCCAACCACAGGAATGATTGGAAAGGTGCTTGAGGAGGGCGGGCCACCCTAGATGCCTCTATCCCGCCCCTTGGCCCCTCCAGCCCCACCCCAAGCTGGTTCCAGCCCGTCATTCAGAAGTTTCCAAACTGAAGCAATGCCCAGGTCTCCCCAGCTGCAGGTGGCCCTGTGACATCAGCAGAGGCTGTGTTCTTTTGCCCAACTAGGAGGACATCTGCTCAGACCTTGGAAAGGCATTCGGAGCCCAGACAGCAGAGCAGAACATGGAGCTGACACCCCCGGCAGCCCTCAGAGGCCAGGGCTACAGCAACAGCAGCTTCCAGGTGAGTGGCTCTTTCCCCCCTTTGAGACCAAGCAAGTGGAAACAATTGCTCTTTCTTTGCACCTTAGCAACTTACTTAGCAAAAGCAGAGGGATTATTTTGAGGGCACACCTTCAGCCCATTATTTTTTTTTTCCTTGGGCTTTTCTGGGTTGACAAACCTGAAAAGTCTCTTTTCAATACCTGTGTTGCTCTGAATTTGCTATGTCACTCAGAAACAAAACTGCCTCCTTCTTTTCTTCCCCCGCGGCTCAGAGCACCAGGGCAGTTGCAATATTTACCTGCAGGCACCTTTCCAGAGAGCTGATGAAAAGAAAAGAATGGGGATCCAGGTCCTGATTGGAGTTAGGTCTCTGGATTCCTTTCTTTAAGCCAGGTCCAGAGCCTCCATCCGATGTGACCCCCGTGCCTGCCCCAGAGTGGCCGAGTTATGCAAACCAATCTGTCATTAGCCAAAGCTCACTGCGTGATTAATGCTGGCCGGGGCTGGGTGCACAGTCTCAGAAGGAACCTGCCAGAAATACCAGGAGGAGCTGGGTTAGCTCTGCAGCCCCGCATCTGCTGTGCACTCCTCAGTGCTGAAAAAGACCAGGCCATTCCAGAGGCAGGTGTGGAATGGAGACTCTCAGAGCTGCTCCTAGTCGGGTCTCCATCCTGGCTTTCAACTTGAGAGCTGTGCGAAAGAGACAAGATCCACACGAGTGGGGCGTGCCTGTTGGACCTCGTGGCCACAGCTGAGTGAAACAGAGCTCTTAGGTGCTGGCAAAGAATGAGGCTCATAAAGGATCTTTGCCAGGAGTCCCAACTTTCCACCCTCGAGCCCCTGTACGCTTTCTGAGCCCCCGAGTGCTGGTCTGCACAATAGTCAGGATAATGCCCTCCTCACGGTTTGTAAATGTGGAGGAAGGAAACCCTTCCAGTTCCTGAGACTTGTGAATCCTGATGAAAGACAAGTTAACAGAGGAAAAACATAGAAGTTTTAGAAATATTTTAAATTTCCCACGTACGGGGGCCTCGCAGAAAAATAAAAAACCACAACCCGGTAGCTAAGTTGGGCTGGGGAGTTTGTGTACCATTCTAACCAAGGGAAACAAGGTGTGAGAAGTGATGGGATGAAGAAAAAGGATGTTTTTAGGGCCACTTACATTGTGAGCCAGGGAACAGGAAGTATAAGGACGTCCCTGGGGGGACAGTCTAGGTGACCGCTGTTAAAGTGGGTTAGGCAGGCTCATCTCAACATCCCTGCCTGGCCGGGGCCAGGGCTGTCCTCCATCCCATCTGGGACAAGGGCTGCTTATGGGAGGGAACCCCATGCCTGCCTATAGGAAAACAGGGAAGAGCAGCATGTCTGCTGCATCTGCTTCTGCTCAGTCACCTTCAGTTCCCAGTCCAGTAAAATTTTGGAGTGTGAGTTACCTGTTCTATGAGTGTCTGGCAACATATGTGCAAGCATTTCTAATCAGTTAACTTCATTAATAAGTGATGTTTGGCAATGCAAATAATACATGGTGCCAAATGTTTCATGAGCCAATGGCTGTCTCTGTGTCTGTCTGTCTCTCTCTCTCTCTCTCTCTCTCTCTCTCTCTGTGGGACTGTGTGTGATCTTCTCTCAACACAGCTCTTGACAGCCAGAGGTTATGGAGGAGATGATCTCAGCTCAGATGAGAAAAAAAAAGGCAGAGAAATCTCTACTTCAAATAAGATTAGAGAGATGTGTAAAATATAGGGAACAGTGCAAGATTTTGTGGGAAACATCATCTGACTAAGGCTGTAGGGGTGCGACCAGTGATTCTGTTTAGCAACCATGCAATGTCACATCTCCATGAAATCCTCAAAATGAGGCAAAAGCAAGTGGCACTAGATAGGTTCCTTGTTAAAGCTACATGAAAGAAAAAAAAGATTTGACCCAGTAAGTAGCAGCGATTCCATTAGTGATAGTGAAAGTCATCCTGCATAATGGCCCTCTTCTCTCCCTCACCCCAGCTATGAAGCCTTCCGAAGGTAAAAGTGCAGATTAATTTATTTATCTTTATTGTTTAAATCCTCTTTATTATTTCATATTCTATGCAGCATTTTAAATATTCTTCTATGAATATTTTCAGGTTTTTAAACAATCATCTAAGTTTTCATTATTACCTATGGGCAAATTTGCTTTAATATACAAGTGCGTCAGATTAGAACATGTTTCTGAAACACTGTGTTTGAACACCAAGGTTTCACTGTATTTTGGCAGGAAGGGCATATGACAGCCCCTTTTATAAGTGGTAAGGGAGGGAGGAAAGGTGTTCAGCATGGGACCTGTGTGGCTCCCCCACGGAGTGGGACAGAGTCACAGTGAGTGCAGCAGTGGGGACGAGCTGCTGCAGAGAAGAACCCCTGTCACACAACTGACTGCTTCTGGATGGCACGGGGTGGCACCTCAGTGGCACTGATTTCCAGCCCTCACACTCTTCTATCACAATAAAGCACCCTAGACTGTAGGCACCTCACACCAGCAGGAATCTCCGCAGCAGCTTATCCCTAGCAGCCGAGGACTGGGCTTCTCCTTCTTGTGCTCCTGTAAACAAGGAATTCCATGGCTCTGTTCCAGAAGAGTCATTGCCCATGCCCTCTACGTGGCCATCACTAAAAGGGCACACCAGAGAGAAGCACCATTTCTGCCCTCAAGAAGCATAGCAAGCTGAGTGTGGTGGCACCTCCCTTCATCCCAGTACTCAGGTGGCTGAGACAGGAGCATCATAGTGAGTTTGGGGTCAAGTTGAGCTACACAATGAGTTCGAGGTCAGTCTGAACTACATAGTAAGACCTATGAGAGTATCATGGGGGAAGTGAGCAGAGCCTCGTATGCAAACAGGGCGAGCTGTGCTTAGTGCGAGGCCTTGAAAGAGCCACGCAGGCATCTGGGATGGAGGCCAGGTTCAGGGAAGTACAGTAGCCTGGTGCCTCTGGAGGCATTAGGAGAGGAGAGGGCATTGTGGAAATTGATATGTTCAAATCATCCCTTCTCGTGAGGTGCCAGGTAGTCCTGCTGACAGTTGAGAAAATGGAGGGAGACTATGTGTGGTGCAAGGTGAGGTGTAAGGTTAGTACGGCCATCTTCAGGAGGCCAGAGGCAGGAGTACAGTGCTGGTGTGGAGGCTCTTATATTGACCCAGGAGGTCCCAAAGGGCCAGCATATAATCCAAGGTGCCACTGCTGTCTGCACCTTCACATTCTCCTCCACAAGGCAGAGTGGTGATGCTACCTATGTCAGAACTGTCAAGACGAGAAAAGGAGCTGCCACACTGAAAAGTAGATGTAATACAGGCGTGTGTATTGTGAAAGCGAGGCCCCGGCACACAGTGTGAGCGCATAAACAGTGGGCCCGGGTACTGAGGCAGGCAAAAGAGTGAGGAGCCAATGCCTCTAGCTTGGGATTGCAGCATAGGAGAGATTCCTTTTTGTAGAGTGGAAGTCTAAGAATATGATTAGAACAAGGAAAAGAATGCACTTGAGGCCTGTTGGAATTTGAGTGACTCCGTACAACTGGATACAAGCCCAGATATGAAACACTAGATAGATACACTAGAAAAGCTCATGTCCTGCATTCATCTGATCTTCCTTAAGAGCCCACCAGTAGAGAGATAAGTAAGAGTGTGGCCCAGAGAACTGCTGCGGGGGAACCTGGGAAGGCCAGGGCTTCTGGAGGGCACAGGGTTTGGAGCAGCACCTAAAACCAAGTACGCACCGTCTTGTGAAGTTGGTGGCCACCCATGTCAGGAAATAGGGCATTGCTATCCTTTGAAGCCCCAAACCTGCCCGTTGCTATGACTGCCTTCTCCCTGAAGGAGCTCCCTGGGGTTTTGCACTGTCCCAGCTCTACATGAAGTGCTTCCAGGCTCACCTTCATCCTTCCAGGAGCACTTTTGCTGCTTTTGAACTTGATCTAACCAAGGACGCATACAATATATTATGCACTACTTTAAAGTGTATACAGTATTAAGTAGGATAAATTGTTTCATATCCAGCTTCTTTGCTCAGTTTTCTGTTTTTAAGATTTATCCATGGTGTTCCCCATAACTGCATTTCACCTAGTTTTTTTGATGTCTCATGCTCTGTCCCTAAATGTCCCACCATCAACATGTTTTAGCCCTGGTGAACATCTATTTCATTTGGGATTTTTGACACTTCTACAATACAGCTATGAACCCCCTTATATATGCTCCTCCAGGAGAAACTTTACAAATTACTGTGCATTGTTCCAGTAGTAAAGTCACTAGGTTGCTGGAACAGATATATCCATTCTCTTTACTAGTAGTGACAGACTGCTTTCCTAAAGGATTGTGTCACTTCCCTCCTCTTTCAGCAGAGCGGAAACTCCTCCTCTTTCCCCTCCTCCTCTTTCTCCTCCTCCTCTTCCTTCTCCTCCTTCTCTTTCTCATCTTCCTCCTCCTTTTCCTCCTCTGTATCATTACCAGCCATTCATTTCAGCCATTCTTGTGTGACAGAGACATCATACATTAACAACAGGATGTATTCTGAGAGATAATCCTTAAGTGATTTCCTTGTTGTGTAAATACCATGGAACAGACTAACATAAACCTAGATGGGGTTGGCCAACCACTTGACATGGCCTCTTGCATGAGGCTGCTGTCACAGAGTTTTGAGGTGCTGGGGTCTCCTTCTAGAGATAGTTCCTAGATTTCTTCTTGTCCTGAACAAAGAATTGGTCAAATCTAAAAGGTTAGCAAGGTTTTACATTTATTAAAGATAGAAAAAGACAAACATGCTCTGTAGAGTGAGTTCAGGCCAATGAAAGGTAAGAAAAGAGCTGCACCATGTGACCACAGGATGGGTACGCATTTCACAGTGGCCCCCACCCTGATGGCAGCCATCTGTATCTCTCTATCCTCAGGCTAGATCAGATCTAGGCCATCCTTTCAAGAACCTGCTCATGTTCTTGCAAGAAGAGTTAAAGACAGCAGTCTGTAATCCATCCCACATGTAGAGCTTTGACAACTGC